GTTGGGTGAAAATTGAGAAGATTGTGAAAGGAGATTACAAAAATATTTAAGTGAGATGACACTGTCGAGTTAATTAGAGAGAGAGAGACAGTGTAATTATAGGAATATTAATGACTACATAGGTAGAAATAACGAACAGGTGGATATGTGTAGTTGAAGAATATAATTGCGAATAAAGTCCGCTTCTTGGCTGTGTGTAAAAGCTGAAGGAAAATACACTGATATGTAACGTGCAGCTCTCCAACTGCTCGACCAATTGCGCGCCGATTGAGATGGAATTTACGATTAGTCGATGCTAAAGGCCGACATTCCTCTCTAGGTGGCTCCATTTCTTTCTTGGGACGGGATAGGACAGGAGAATATCAAAGTTGCTGTGCTTGACGCACGCACATTATTGCACGAGACTTCCTTAAGTTATTCCGCTCGTTTGTTGGTTATCGCATTTGAATTATACTTGTAAATACGCGCGCGCACCGCGGAAAGTGCGCTCCCTGCCGTTAAGCGTTTCCGAGTTCAGAAATAGGAATCACGTAACACACGGCGATCCGATCGCCGTGTTGCAAGTACACCTGGTCCCTCCGCGACGTTCGTTTTTACGCCGGGCGAGATATTCACGATGACGTGGATGATAATTTGTCGGAACGCTTGCTCAACGTTATACCGTACGCGCCGAATGTTTTAGCTGCGACGCGACCTGCGCTACTACGATTTCGCGGCTGGCTTTCTCACAGCAGTCGCGCGCAGTTAATTAATCAATTAACGACAACGCGCGTCAAGTGTGAGTTAATCAAGCGCGCGGAATGTAGATCGCTGTATGTCGATTTATGCCGACGTTGAGTTCGTTACTCGGGCATCCGCGGTTCGCTCGCGAATTTCCGTCCTGGAGGGAGGCAAGGAGGGAGAAAGAGCGAGAGGGGGGAGGGCGGAGGAGAGAGGGAAACGGAGATAACTATTCGAAATACATCAGGGAAGAACGAGCTCTCCTTCGCACAGCGTCTAGCGACGCACAGTTTCCCACGATGTGAGGAGACTGAAGAGAAAGAGCGGCGATACGGTGTATTTCTCTCCCTTTCTCCCCGCGTCTCCCCTCTTTGGACATTATAATTAGAAAGTTCGGAGACATGGTGTATTCGATCGACGCATAATGTAACCGTGTTACGACGGCGCGGTGAAAAAGAGGATTAGGAAGACGCGCGCGCGGGGAAGAATAAGTCCTTTAATCATGAAAGTATGATCAGAGCGTAGCGCAAGACGTCGCGTCCCGTCCTGTGTCGTGTGCCGTCTGTGTACGTCTCGTTGACGAAAACTCGCCGCGAAGAGGAGAATCGCTGAGGAACGACGCCGTAGGAACTGGTCCCGGAGTCTCACCATCTGGGACACGAGTGCTCCTCGACCACCTTGTCTCTCTCCCCTCCTGCCTCCGCGCGACCCCGGCCGGCATGCGGTATAACGATTTCGAGCTAAGCGACGGACGGACGGACAGGTGCGGATGTAGACCGAGCGAGCGAGCGAACGAACGAGCAGCAACAGCCCTGCATTCGTGCACATACATAGACACAACACACACGCGCACACAGTGTGTCCCAATCACCGCTTCGATTCCGTTGTTGGCCCTATCGCTCGGTCGTTTCCTTCTTATCTAATTGCTATCTAATTACACGGGACATGTAAATACGTTGCGTCGCCGCGGTAATAATGAAGTCTGCCTTCCCCCGATCTCTCGTCCTTGGACGCGACAGATAGCGCTCGTATTTTACGAGCTCGAGCGTTTTACAACGCATACTTGTTCTCTTCCTCTCTCTCTCTCCCCTCTCTTCTCTTCTTCTCTCTCTCTCTCTCTCACACACACACACGCGCGCGCGCGCGCGCGCAAATATATACGCACGCATTCTTGGTAGGTACTTTGTACGCCGCGGGTTCCTTTTTTTCTTCACCATAAAGAAAAGCCGTATACGTTCCCACGGTCTAATTTGTAATTTAGAATTCGTAGCACGTTGCGCAAAATCTAGTACTGGTCATGGGGAGGAGAGCAGGGGAGAGCAGAGGGGCGCGAGGGGCAAAAATGAATACGGCGGTAAAATCGCGATAACAATCGGCCGATTGTTCAAGACAGCGCGCGAAAACGCAAAGGTCACACTTGTAAATTCGCGCGGCGCTCGCGGTGTAGCGCGTAATTTGAAGCTCGTGCCGTTTGCAGCAAAATCCAGTGGCTCGCACGGTTGTTAGAATGAATGCAGAAGTAAATTCGCGATAATGATCGGCCGATTGTTCGAAACGAAGTGAAACCAAACGTAGCGAGGCTCATCCGAGAAAGTTGAGGTAGAGAGAGAAAAGTAAAGAGAGGGGAAAAGAGAGAGAGAGAGAGAGAGAGAGAGAGAGAGAGAGAGAGAGAGAGAGAGAGAGAGAGAGAGAGA